ATATGTTTATCAACCCCAAAAAACTGATTACGACATCTCAAAATTTTGCCGAATAAATTCTTTCGCAAATATGAAAAATATGAACAGACTTTTTTTAATCATCGCATTCATATTTTTTAGTAATGCTTAAACGGGTGACTCAAAAAAATTAATGAATCAGTCAATTTATTATTGATCAAATTAAGAACGAGTCACCCCATTTTCTGGAAAATGTGAAAATACGCTCGTCTTTATAACAATAAAATAATGATAAGGTAAAAATTATAATAACAACATTCAGAATATTTTGTTCAATGGAGGCTTATGAATAATTTTAGTCGTCTGTTTTGGGGCGATATACATGTCTACGTGACATTCTTCCGATGTAATGTATTCCCGTTGATAATGTGTTGTAAATAAATTTCAAAAGTGACGTTTCTGAAGAATTTTATCAATTTTCTTGTATCTACGAACGCCAGAATGCATAAAACTAACCCAAACGTCTCCTTTTCCTAATCTGAGACGATTCTGCATGCTCTAAGTGTGTTTCGTCGCTCAGAATCATCAAAAAATGTTGAAATATAGTTCCGTGGTCCATACGCATCACATAAATTTCAACCGCCTAGCCCTATTTTTTTTTTAGTATTACACTACTTCTATCCAAACTGATATACGTGTTCTTGCAAAAATGTTGATAACGTCATCGCAAAAATTTTTTAAAATGCTCCGCTACAAAAATGTAATAGGCATGCTGTCGTCACGTTTCCGACAGCGAGGGAAGTACTGTCTAAACTCTTTAGACCAATTTTTTTTTAATGACCTCCCAAGCGGCTTTGACACTGTTTTTAGAATTTTTTATAAATTCATTATTATTTTTGTTAACTTAACTTCATTTTCGTATAACTTTTTTTGAGTGATCATAGCTGTTTTTACATCATCATTACTTGCAAATAAAGCTATCTCATGTAAAAAAGACAATTTCTCTTTCATCAGTCACTGTACCAAGCAATTCTTTTGGGATTATCCACCTTAACAATTTTTACAGGAAACGAAATATGAAAATAATAATGAAAAATGATTTCAGTTAATCTCTGAAAACCAGCATTTGGATTACTACCAGATTTTTGAAGCTCGGAGGTCCAATCTACCCTATATGTATTGATATAAACAAAATTTTCCAAGCATGGTTATTGGCCTTATTTGTTTATAATGTTTCATAATTGAAAAATAATACAGTCAAATCGTAATAAAATACCTATGCGATCAGATAGACCTAAATATACAGGATCTACTTGAAATTCTAAACTGATATTTGTAAATATATTGTCGATACGATTTTACCCTCTTGTATTGAGATTATAGCTTAAAAATAAGGCGGATAGTAAAGTTTCCTTTAACCTAACTGAATTAAAAACAACACTGAAATCACTACCTATGATAACATTTTATGGTGTTCTAATTTACTTAATAATAATTTGTTAATAATAATCGATAAATGTGGACGACTGTTACCTTATTATCAATCAATTTATTTGCAGAAATTTCACATACCTTTTCTAATGAAAGTTTTTCAAGATTACTCATTCGTCTATATTTTAGATTTTGAGTTTTAAAAATAATAATAGATCCACCATACTTTCCTTGATCCCTCGAAAAATACGACTGAGCTGTAAAATCTTCCATGTTTAAAAATTAACATTCCGTGTTTGACAACCAGTGTTCACAACTGCATAAAACTGAAATGGAGTCGTAGATGGTCAATAGTTCTATCGCTCCTATTTTATTACGCATAGAACAAATGTTTAGAAAAAGAATTTTGATTTTATTATGTACTTTGCGGGTGACGTTACCTTGTTTGTTTTCACTAAAAAACTGAACCACCTAACATCTACAAGAGGTCAAAAATTAGGTTGAAGCAGATTTGCGCATAGTGAGAAGCGGACTCCAATTTTGAAAACAGAGTTGTTTCCAATAGTAGGAAGTTTTTCAACAATAAAATTATCATCAGGATATTCTTCTCTGAGATAATTAATGACAGTATTCTCTGTGGCATTTTTATTGCTGATTCCTCCTACATACAGAAATCGAATCATTGTTTTCCATTACAGATTTTGTTAATCTTAAAGCCTCGACTTTTCTCGAATTGTCATTATTACCTCTTACAGGATTATCTTGTCTTGAACTTTCATGGTTTCCTTGTTCAATTAGCAGATTTTGGGAGGATAACTGGTCTGTTTACCCAAAACTTGTTGACGAACAGCTGATCGGTTGATTATTTTTGTATGCGTTTTTAGGTTCGATTTCTTTGCTATTTCACTATTATCAGATATAGCGAATCCACCTTTTTGCGTGAAGAGCCTGATAAGTTCGACGTTGGAGTCCCGCAAATTTCTAACTTCGGTTCTTAGTTCTTTAACTTCCGCTAGCAATTATTCTTCTGTCGTTGCCTCATTCACAATTGCACTAATTTACCATCTCGAATTCATTGCTCCTTAATACGAGTTCATCCGCTACAGTTTCATGAATATTAGCCGAATCACAGTCATTTTGGTCAATTTCGTGCAAACAAGTAGAATTTTTCACTTGCAGAGCTCTGTTTAGGCCAGACGGATGAAATACAGGATCACATTTCTTGCAACTAACTGGATGAGCCACACTTCGACCACGGTGTTTGCAGCTACTTGATATAAAATCTAAATTTTCTTAAAATAGTAAATATCTCAAAGGAAAGTCAAATTGATTTTGGCATCATCTATAGTAATAAAACTTTTAGGAAACAGCTGTTGTAGTTTTGACTGAAAATGGACTTTAAACTGTTTAGGTTTTTATGTATCGCATCAGTAGTATAAACAATGAACAGTATAGGTCCAAAAACTAAACCTTTGGGGATACTACATGCAATAATAGTAAAAGCGAGGAATTCTTTAAATTTACAGAGACCACCTGCTAGCTATTAAGCAAAAAGTAGCACAAGATGTAATTTTTGTATAATAATAATTGAAGCTTTTCCAAACGCTTGTCATGACTTATTCACTCAAAAGCTGTTATAGTTTGCATTAATCTAAGTAATGAAGTAAATTTTCCTTTTCTGAATTCAAACTGAAATTGGTGAAGGTAATTATCGGAGTTTAAATACCTTAGTTATAAAAGCAGCCGATTTTGTTTGATTCATTGACTAATGTAAGATTTGGAGTAAAATACTTACGTCTGAAATATCAACAAACGAAAAATAGTGTTGAAATTGCGCTCATATAGGCAGCAACAAATTAAAATAAGATCTATAAACGTAAGAGAGGTTAAAACATCGATTCATAAACTCGACTAAAGTACGACGTGAAACTTACCCAGTCCATATTACTGATTCTCAAAACGATGTTACAATCAGTTACAGCTCAAAATTCAACAGGTAATTCAAAAAACAAACCATCAAATACAACAACACACGGAACTCACTTGCACAGTATTATGTCTTTAACGCACTTAAAAAACATAAGCACAAACATTAGATGCTAATTATTTGTACTTTATATTAGTAAGTTTGATACTTGAATATGGCAGTCCCATATGGTATTCGGTATATGATGTGCCTATTTCGAATGCTGAAATGTTGAAGCCATTTAACAAATATAATCCTCGAAATTATTGTTTACCTGCTGATGATTCGGTTTTACTTGCTAAATTAAATTAAATTTAAATTATTTTTTATGAACCCGTAGGATCTGCACTAGCATAAGATTTCTCTTTAATTTAATAAATAAGAAAATTGATTACTCTTGGCTTCTGTCTAATTGTAAGATAAATAAATGCAAAACAAATTTTTTAGTTCTTAGAAATAACACTCGCTTGAAGCACTTATTTTATTCTCTATAAACACTAACTAAATAAACAATAATTATGTCACCTCCTCTTTAAAATACTGTACATAATTTCGACCAGTATTATATTAAATATGTACATATACCTATTACATATTTTATTTTCTTTTTAGTTTATTTATAATCATTAAATCAGAGTATTGTTATTTCTAGACAGCATTTAAATCAACCTTTTACACTGGCACCTTTTTTACCCCTCAGCTCTATCATTTTTACAATGATTGGACACTACTATAATTTTTCAATCAAGTGTCCTACGTCAGGACTATGACAGGTGATAGTATTGTCAAGGCTAGCTACGATTTTCAAATTTTCAGTACTTTTATTTTGACAATTTATTTTACCATGTTGTAAAAAAATAAAATAATGCATATCTTACATTTCTGAATTGAGAAAAAAATGCACTATTTAAAAACGGAACATTTGACTACTAGTACAATTTAAATAAAAATCAAGTTATCCTTGCATCTCAAAAACAAATGAAGTATACAATTTGATAAAAGTGCAGAAATAAAATTTGAATATTCCTAGGAACACCCCAAATTTCAAAAAGATTCAAGAAATCGTTCTCGCGATATTCAACTGGTTCCATACTTTTTAGCAAACTGTATATTCATAGTTACTTATATGTAAACTTCCGTTGATTAGGCTCCTTTAAGTTATTATTATTGATAATTAAAGGCAAACAAAGTAGGTACAAAATTTAAACTTTAAATTTAGAAAAATATTACTAAAAAAAATTAAATTATCAAAAACTATATTAAATTAAGATTTGCGTTTCCTCAAAAATTAAATCCTTGACCTGAGAGACAATGGGGCTGTAACTCAACACGTATGCCCCATAAATCACTTAGTGACTTATTTGTAATGTAACACACCCGTACCATAAATAACGGTTAACCGTAATCCTCAACGAATTCGCTTAATCAATCAGAGCCCAATGCCCTCTGAAATAATATCTCTCCGCCACCTCGTCTGCCAGCAGCATCACAAAGCAATAATTTATGCCCACCAAATATTTTGCACCTCATGCTGAACTCCACGAATAAAATAAAATAAATGTCATGAAAGGGATATTTCGCGAAATGGAATTTATCATTTCCGAGCCCTTTCCTTTCCGCTATTTGTAACACGTACCGCTTTCAGGCTTCAAGACTGGCGGTGTTTGTGGTGTCGAGCGACGGTCCACACCCAATGCAGACCCAATTTATCTCCCTCGTGCCCTCTGGGTCCTGCCAGGGTGAGTGTGGTGCCTCCGACGGCCCTGCATTCCATCCAGGACGAGGCCTGGGAAGCCGTGAGACCGCAAGCCTCCTCTCCGCTGCTCGTATTTGTGAATTCCAAATCAGGTAATGACACGATCCTTGGCCTGGGATTTTAATTAATCACGTGTATGCAGGTGATAACCAGGGGGTGAAGTTTCTGCGAAGGTTCAAACAGTTACTCAATCCTGCACAAGTATTCGATCTCATTTCTACGGGACCCAGGCTAGGTTTAAGACTGTTTCGACACTTCGACCCATTCCGTATTTTAGTGTGTAGTGGAGATGGATCTGTGGGATGGGTGCTCTCGGAAATCGACAAGCTTGACATGCACGTAAGTTAAGAGTGTCTGTGAGGAGTGATTAAGGGAATATAACTGCGAACATAAATAACCTACGTGACCGGGTAATTAACGTTCAAATGTTTTTGTAGTTTGTTTTTGTCGCTGTACACATTTACATATTTAGAAATAAAATACATGCATATCCAATGATAAACGCGTTAAGATTCGTCAAGTTTTGTCTAAGAACATTTTTTTCAGATTTTTTTTAATAGGAAACTTTGATAAAATTGTAATTAATGCGTCTATATTTTATTATACAATTTATAACAATAACAAGATAACAGTTTACGATCAAACTCCTAACATGAACTGTGGATTTACAAGCAATGAATCAAATTTACACAACGTGTTAGCGTCGGTCAAAAATTCGCCTTTTTTCGATTAGAAAGCCGCAAGGATTAGCTACGAATGTTGGGGAAACTGTGGCTTCGTCGTCGTTACGATTGATTGTCGTTAAACAAAGGCTTCGTCCCTTTTATTAACTACCAAACCAACTAAACTTAACCTAGCCTAACTCACCGCATCCTTTCACCATGCTTTCACTTACAACAACAAACCAAATATTCTCTTTTATACCATAAGTAGTTGTGTTGAAGAACTTTCAAGTCAAAATCTTCATAAAAATATGTTTACTCATACAAACGTTGCCACCCCCTTTCATCTTCTTAGGGGTGGAATCTCGAAAAAATCTGAAATACGTGTTTGATTATTTGTGTTGAAGAGCATTAATACCAAGTTTAACGCAAAAATTTAAATTTACAATAGAAATATTGTTCCTATACAAACTTAGCCACCACTTTTCACCCCCTTGGCTGTTGAAGCTCCGAAAATACTTAAATACGTGTTTCATTATTTATGCGAAGAGCATTAATACCAAGTTTCACGCACAAATTTAAATTTACAGTGGAAATATTGGCCCTATACAAATTTTACCACCCCTTTTGAACCCCTTAGGGGATGAATTTCGAGAAATCCCTTCTTAAACGATGCTTCCAGTGTAAAATGAACATCCTCTCCAAATGTCAAACTTCTATCATTAGCGGTTTAGCCTGGGCGTTGATAGGTCAGTCCGAATAATGTCTTTTATATACAATACACAGGCTGGCCCAAATAAAACGAAACAGACGGGCCCGTAGGCGCTATACTTGATTATGTGAAAAATGTTCGAATCATTAATCTTCAACACAAATGCTGTGAGTCAAGAGCTAGAAGCAAAAGAAAGTTCTAAACAATACCGAAATTTTATCAGTATTTATAAAACCGCAAACGACGAAACCGTGCCGGGTTATCAATCTCAGGAACATATTCCTAAAAAATTCACTCCACTAAATGCCGAGATAAAATAATTTCACGACGTTGAAACTTAACTACATTCCTTCATGCAAACCCAAACAACAAGTTAATCTTCTGTACACGACCTTAATGGAACGGAACCTCATTTAAATTCATTTCACAGTACAGCGGATGCGACTCTGTTCGTTGTTTGGCAACCACCAAGCTTAGGCCAAGGGTTTGCAATTTACAGCTATCCAAGTTGTGCTTAGATTTCTCCTTTTGTAGTGTTTAAACTTACTTTTCACATAAAAAATCATAGAAATCATCGTCCCTTGAAATCAACTCTACTTAAGGAGCTCCAGAAGGTTCAGTAGCCGGTCCTAGATATTCATATTTTAACGACCATTCATGCCGTTCCCCGAAATTCCACCGCAAAGAGTCATTAATTTCCCCTGGAGGTCTTCTCATACCACAGGATCTCGACATTCGCTGCGGACACAGCCGAAGCCGCAGCTATAATTCTCGACAATCTCGCTGACGTGGTGTTAATACTTACCTCTTCAAGATGAATGACCACCTTTTAGATAATGCAGTGGTTCTGAAACAATCCGGACACTTAACATAGACCAGAAACTTATCGAAGCTAACTGTCAGGAAATAAGCAAACAAACTAAGGAGACAGTTGTTACATCCTCTAGCTGAACGATTTGCTAAAGGAAATTAAGGAAGATCTTGTAGGAAATGTTCTCGCGTTAATCGCAAAAACATACCCATATTTTAACTCATTCTGGGCTAGGACACTGAAAAACTTTTGAACGGATTGCAATTTTTTTTCAACTTTACCATTTTCAAATCCAAATTTTGTCGTTTATAATTTATTATAATAATGATTATAGTTCCAGTAGTATTAGTATACGACTAATTCGAAAACAGTTAGGTATAAATTAACGAATAATTTTTGGGTCTTGGAATTAACTAACTACCCCCCTGGGATGAATTATTTATTTCCGGTTGGACTACCCATTTATTTTATTTCATAAACATGCCCATTAACCTGTAAAGAGCAAATTAAAAATTAATATTATTACACCTGAGGGAATTTGCGGAGGCGGCCGATAATGGTTCGATTAAAACTTAACGGTATTTAGCACAAGAACATAAATTACGACATTTAGTTAATAATTAACCTGCTGTACTCCTCGTTAGATTCCTGACTCCGTTGTGAGGCTTTAAATAGAGCAGCACCAACTAACAACACCAAATTCCATCAGTCTGTGTGTGTGTCTGGTCTTGGATTTATATAAGATTTGTTCAAAAAACTAAGAAAAACTGACGCTATTACACTCCTAGACAGTCAAATATGATAGATTATGTGTAATTTCAGTTGTTTTTTCATGTCTAATTGTACTAAATTAGTTCCAACTAGAAATATATTCTGTTTTAAAGAATTCACTAGCTTCCAAAGTAAGTATGGTCATTTTAGTAGAAGAGCATAAGGTACTATTGCAGTACATTGGATGTGTTGAAATTTTTCACTGTTACGGGGGTAAAGTAGAGTCCGCCAAATAGTGAATTCACTTTCTATGTCCAAAAGTGCTTATTAGAAACCTTCAATAAACTACTCAGAATTTCAGCGGTGACGATTTACACTTGCCTGCTCTCGGGTTACTTCTACAAAACACAAAAAGTTTTGCAAATTGGACATTGTTGACCATTATAACTTAAAATGTGTTCATGGGTGGGTAATTTATGGAGTCTTCAATAATATTGTCGGATGTACAGTAATACAGGTAGTACTAAAAATAGCAAAAGGAAACTTGTGGAAAAACACTATTGGACAAAAACAGGGGACAATATGAAATAAGGAGATAAAAAAGAAACTAAGCTTACACCTAAAGAACAAAAGACAGACACGAAAATCATAAATTTTCCTGCAAAACATAACAATGCTCACGAAAGATAAAGATAACAGGTACACATATTTAAAATCAAAGAAGCATAGAGTATTGGTAAACCAAAAAAAAAACAAAAACTATTGTAAAAAATGTTTTGACAAAGTGATTAATAGGAAGATGATGATAATCAAGAGGAGGAGAAAGATGACGAGGAAGAAAGTAAGGAAAAAGATAAAAGATACTCGGAATAAGTGAAAATCGAAACAAACATCGTCATAAAACCAGTAATAAAACTCAAAAGAAACAAATCAGCAAAACATGACGCAATCACTTCTGAAATGTTGAATTTGGGGACAAACGGTGTGAACATTTTAACGAAGATCCTCAAGAAAGCCACAAAACAAACCCGAATATTAAAGAGTTGGAAAACTGGGATACCAACACATCACAAAATTGGTCTAAAGTTATTTAGACACATCTTCCCTCGCACCTGAAGCGAAACTTTTCAACAAATTCAATGTCATGGGAAAAAATATCGACAAAGGTGGGCTTCAAATTCATGCGGGCAGAACTCAAATTCAACATGTTGCATATTTTTGTGAAGTAATTGGGATAAAATTACGGCGGATTCATAAACTGCAACTACAAATGTATATTATTTTATAGACTTTAAATAGTATTTAGTATGCACAATTTGAGGTGACGTCATCAGATGGTCGGTGGAGATGAGTACACAAATTGTGGTTAACGTTTTACCAGTAGTAGTATTAATTTATTGTTTACCTTACAGGCTTAATAAGATTCCCAGTAAGGGTAAAAATTAACTTAATCTACATAATACAAATAAATCAATAAAATAAATATTAGAGTTTTTATATAATAATAATTGTTGTATTTTTAGTTCCCTTATCTTCCGTACTTCTTTCATTCAGTCCAGTCCTGTCCTCTTCCATCCTCGTTTAGCACTTCTTCCCTGCTTTCCTCAAATTCTCTCAATCCTTCACATCCTTCCAGCATATGCTCTATTGTTTCTCCCTCTCTCCAACATATCCTACACCTTATGTCAGTTTCATCCATCCAAAAATGATTCTCCTTCTCTTCATTTCCACAACTAAATCTCGCCATCATTCTTTTCTCCTTTATACTCTCTCTGTGTGTGTACTTTGGTACTTCATCCTTTACTATTTTTCTATACTCTGCATTATACCTAGACTGCAATATTCTCGATCTTCGTTCTTGCTTATCTATATCCTTGTCTCTTACACTCAGTTCTTCTTTCATACTCCTTCCCATTTCTCTCATTCTCTCTATTTCTTCACATGCATATCCCTTTCCTTCATAATACTTGTCTTTTTCGTTCCAAACACGTTTTCCCCCTTCCTTTCTTATTTCTTTCCAACATTCCTGCAATATTTTAGAATTACTTGTCTCACTAAACTTGTCTTCAAATCCAACCGCCCTTTTACCCGTTTCCACTATCATTTTCTCCCTTTTTGTTTCTTCTCTCACTATATACCCCGGAGTATACTTTCCAATCCCAAAGTCCATTTTAAGTATTTTTCTTGCATTCTCTCTATTTGTTCATATTCCCTCCATCCCCAAATTTCAGCTCCGTACATAAACACACTTTTGACCAAACTATCAAACATCATCATTCTTCTCTTATAATCATGTCCAAATTTTCTCTATCCTATTCCCCATACTATTCCTATTACTTTGTTCGCTTTTCGGACCATTTCTTGAATATGCGCTCTATCTGAGGTATTGCCCTTTAATGTATATCCTAAGTACTGCAATTCTTTCATCTGTTCAATCTTCTTC